AAAGCGCTCGAATAGGGGATCCAACGCATCCTTCCATATAGGCGGAGCCCAGGTAATAATGTTCAGCCCATATGTAGCCGTGGATAGGATAAATGTTTTGAACATCACCAGTCGGTTGCGGGGGTGTCCCCAGCTGAAGCCATGGAAGCCATAAGCGCGGAAAGAGGCGATACCCAGTGACAATGCTGCAACCATTGATTCCTGGTACTCCGTGAGAGAGTGGGAGCCCCAGGTATTTGGAGTGTTTCGGTTCGGCATGTGTGGGCGCCAGTCTCAGGGGGAGGTAATGTGTGTTCCAAGGTGCGTCTGCAAGCGTCGGCGTGATAAGCTCACCATTTATACGGAGGGTTGGCGCCGCGTGTCGCAAGTCGGTAGATCGTACTCGGGGTTTAATGACACCCTGTTCGAGGCCAGATTTGCGTCCCCACGCATCAATGTCATCTAAGAAGGGCTGGAGCGAAACCGATCGAGAGGCTTGGATCCGTGTGTCATCGACAAATAAATAAGAGCGGAAGAGCTTGGGCCGAAATTGTGCTAGCGTGACAGCTAAGGAATCCATTTAGATAATAAAGAGCTGGGGGCGACGATTGAGCCTTGTAGGATGCCATTCGTTCTATGGAATAGAGACGAGAGCGTGCCGCGGTATGTCACTCGGGTAGGGACCCTGAGGCAGTTGATCCAGTTTTCGGGCATTCCAGCGTGACGCAGAAGTACCCATAGGCGTGGGAGAGCGACCTTGTCGTATGCCTTGGTTAGGTCCAGACAGACGTCGTTCCACTCCTCTTCTGACTGTGTCTCAGATTCCATGGCAGCAAGTGCTTGAGTATGACAGGAATACCGTGATTTGAAGTCAGCTTGGGTATCATGGGTAGCAGAGCCGGGGTGGCTCGTAATCAGATTAAGAAAGCACTTTTCAATGATGCGTCTGACTATTTGCTTAAGCGTGATGGGGCGGAAGTCGGCGGGGGATGTGATATCTGCATCGGCTTTCTTTGGGTGCGCTGTCAGGAGACTTCAGTTCAGAGCTACGGTGAAGGTACCCGCCTTCAGTAGCTCAGTGAATGCTTCGGCAAGGAGTCTAATCAATGGGCTATTGGTGTCGGGGCGTCCTAATGTCCGGCGTTTGGTAGAGCGCTCCACTGCGGCCTTCAGGAGGAGGATGTAGATCCCGTCGCCGGGGCGTATGGTGGAAGTGGCATCAGGAGAGGGCTCGGTATCCGGTGGAACTACGTACGGGTTTGTAGAGTTGAATAGGGCCTCAAAGTAGTCAGCGAGGGTAGTGCCTGTGTCATCGGTACCCGGTATGCAGGGTTGGCGCGGAGACCGTCATTAGTACGCAATATCTTTGAACATTTGTGCATTGCTTTGGGTGGTCAGACGTGGGCGGAACGAGTGGTTTGGCAGCCGCTGAACCCAAGGTCTGTTTAAGTCATACTAGAACCCTCCAAAGATTTGTGGGTTAGTGGCATAGCATCAGATGCGGTCGAGAATTCGTAGCAGCCCTTTTGCTGGTCCACGTAAAGTGAGATAAGGTCCGTAGTAGGTTCTGATGCGCCCAGATTTTGGCTTGGAATAGTTGCGCGCGGGATTTGTTGCGTAGTTGATACAGTCGATGGCGATATCGGTTATATCCATGGGAGGGGATTCGTTGGTCCGGAGGCGGCGGCATTGCTCGCATTTGTTGGGGCCGATGGATTTGATTCGTGGGAAGTATCTGGAGATCGAGTCCAAAGGTGTGGTCACCACAGATACCGTAGTCCGTCAGCTTATAAGTTTGGAGGGAGGCGAGGGTGGTAAGTCGATGATACGCATGTTCAGTACCAGTTGAGCCGCCAACATAGAGGTAGTCCAAGTGCCACGTCTTACGCAGAGTAGTCTCAATCGTTTTCATACGTAGTCCGTGATTTGTAGATGCGTGGCCATACTTCCGGGCTTTGAAGTTGAAATCTCCCCACATGACATCTGGTTGGAAACCGCCAATCTCGGGAGGATTCATGTATCGCCTGACGTCTCCTTCAGTAAGCGATTTGAGTGGAAAGTAGAACACGGCCATATGAACGCCAAAGCACAGAAAGAACACCGCATACGGTGAAGAGTGTACAAGTTGAAAATTTGATGGGTGGTGTTTTGATGTAGTGTATGATAGCGTGTGTTCGAGCGTATGTAATTAAGAAATGTGGTGTTATGCCAGGTTTCAACCACACACATAACATCAACCTGACTTAAAATCGATATAACGTTCAAACAATTATCTGTATGTGCTGCGTTGTCCATGTTGTCAAAACACACGCCATTTAGGCCCTATAATAGACCGGTCGGCCTTCGGCCTCTATTCTTTTCTACGTTAGAATTCAAATTTGGGTGCGCTTACATATAAGTCCAGCCTCCAGCCTCCAGCCCTCTGCCATCCAGGGACCAGGCTCCGTTCCTCAACGAGTCCAGCCTCCAGCGAGATCAATCCAGCGATTCCAGCCTCCAGCGAGTCCAGCGAGTCCAGCCCAGTCGTGCAGAGTGCAGACTCCAGGAGTCCAGGGGCGGCTTCAGGTATAACGAATATATTTGACCTGAGGGATGAGGCAGTGGCCTGAGGGCTGATTTCTGAACTTCTGATTCCACTCATTTTTTGAATTTTGAGTATGTTTGTATGTGATTGTGATTTGTGCCTTTGTGGGGCTCGAAAGTTAAAAGCTTCTAAGATAAAAACTGCTTTCTGTACACTGTCAGTGAGACGGGAAGAATCGTTTTGCTCTCCATCTCACTATATATAAAACTGGGAACTGCAACAAGCTGTTCATTAAAACTGCCACTCTGCCAGTCTGTCACGACTCACAAGAAGATCACAACAACAAGAGAGAGGAGCGAGTTCTCATTAGTCATTCCATTCTATGGCCAATACGAGACATTTCATTATATAGAGAGTAAATTCATTCATACATCGGATAAAAAAAGCAGAAAACTGTGACAATAATTACATGAAGTTACTCACACAAGAGAGAAAAGCTTTATAGACTCCTTAGGGCTTAGAGTGCTAAAGGTGCGAAATTCTTTGTATAATGGTTTTTATATATAGGAATTTAGTCATCTATCTACTAGATTATTTGCCAACAACAGGAGTTGCAACTTGCAAGAGTTGGTCGTTGTTCAACGTTGATTACTTGTGCAGCATTCTAAAGCCTTCTGTTGTTCCAAACCGTCCCCGAGTCCCCGAGTCTCCAGTGGGGCCGCCAAGCCCCCCAGTGTATTTATATAAAAAATAAATAAATGCAAATCTTACACTACATAAATACATACAAATTAAAAACCTTTATGAAAATAAACATTTTTTTTGCGAAGCCTTCGTTGAGAAGAAGGAATTATACATAAACATCACAAAAGAAAGTTTAAGAAAAAACATGCTGAAAAAAAAACCAACAGTCCCACCGCCCCGCCGGACCATCGATAAATATTTTCCGTGCGACGTGACCCCGCTGACCCGTCCGTCGAACATTCGAACTGCCAGTGCCAAGTATTTACTGCCAAGTGCCAACCCCAACAACGAAAACCTTTTTATATATATAAAAAGGAATAAAACGGTAATACTGCAATAAAGTATCAGTCAACAGTCAACAGTGTGTGATGTGTCCGCGAGACCGCGACAAAGCGAGGAGCAGAGAAATTTAGATAGCTGATAAATAAAGCCACTCCTGACTCTGCGGTTTAAAATGCCCTGCACGGAGTGCACGACTCGAAAAACGGTTTTACTTTAAAAAAAAATTGAATTAAAGGTTTCAGCCAACTTTCTGGGTACATTCCATAGCAATAACTATTTATAGAATTTTTGACTCTTTTAGTCTGAAGATCTATTTGATATCTATTTTTAGAAGGTGATTTTGTTGATTATGTCTCTTTCATGCCGGAGCACAACAACAATGAACGAATTGGATAACTGACAGTCTACTCGCCCGGAGTCAGTGCTTCAGGAGCGAAATTCTTTGCTTGTAATTTATGATTTTGCGTGTGCACCAATTACATAGTGTGTAGCTAAAGTAGAGTGATGCAACAAATCTGATCTTATTGTGACAAACTGACAATTTGTGAGAAGCTTAAATATGTGCCATATCGTATTTCGAAGTGCGATATATCGAATTGGTTTCAGATCTGAGTGGCTTTTGCCTTAGGACGGCGAATTCGCACCGAGGGACTGTTGAGTGTCACAGTTTAGTAATTTTTACATATATTTCGTGCGCTATTTTAACGTATACGCGTGCGAGAGCTGAATGGCTTGGAGTTGGAAGGACACGGAACATGCATGATTTGATCGGCGGGCAGAATTCTTAGTTGATCATTCAGTATTTTTTAAATTCGGCGGGGACACTACCACTCATGTTCGATATATCAATGGCCTCCGAAACAGTCTTTGCCTTCATACAGTATTTGTTTTCGTCGGATCCGTTAGTGATTTATGAATATATATAACGATGCATTTGTCAATTGCCAGACAATGAACTACTGTTAATCAACTGTTATACAATAGCTGGTGGATTATACAATGATCAATGGAAATCTAAACGTTGGTTTGGTGGCAATGCATAATGTCGCACACGACGCAGTGAGTTATAAGCATAAAACATCACGCTACAGCTCGGGTGTTGAGCCCCATTCAGACTACTGTATGGACCTAAACAATATGCATTTCAGTGAAGGGAAGCACAAGGAAAATAAGAAGTTTGTATCGCCAGACCGGAAAAACAAACGCTCATCGTCGTTACCCAAATCTTTCTCTCGATTAAGGATTGGTGCCAGCAACACCTTGGGCAGGCCGCAGCATAAGTCGACGACTAAGCATAAGTCCGAACCAATGTACAATCCAGTACAATGGATCTCACCTTCGGAAGTATCTCTGTCAAGTTTGGCCGAACTTCAACGCAGTATCCATACCACGAACAACCTGAAGGGTACAAAAAGTGACATCCGTAAAGTTCAGGGAGTAGTATCGTACTCGTGCGACGCTTATGGGGTTTGGGACCCGGCGTCAAATATTAGTCTAGAGGAAGTAGATGAGTGTAACGAAGTCTGTAGAGATGATGACGGATGCGTGTGCAACTGTGACTATGGCGAGAGTGGTGGTGCGTGTGATCACATTCTGGATCTGCAGGATGCTCTAATAAGTGTAGCAGCTAGTATGAACTTCTTCGATCAGCGATTTCGTGGGTCCAACAGCGCTCGCAGTCTGAACAGCCGGGCAACTGACTGCCTGCAATTGTATAGGACATAGTTAAAATGTACTTGGTTAAAAAATGATCGTTCGACTGATGCGTTTATCTTGGAATCGCATAGATTTGATACTCCTGGACCAGTGTCGATTGTTAAGTTGAGCAACTAATAAATTTAAGTATTATGACTCTATATGGTTCGATCGAGCCTAGTTAACTATTCATTGATAGCCAAACACGCTTTCCATGCACATATGCGCGAAATGGCCTGTTTTTCCACTTTGCGACGCAGTGATACTCATAAGTGTCCATACTCCGACAACCATTTGTGTATAATCTAAACTACGATATTGTTTGCATTTTTTTATTGTGTAAAGAAGCCCGGTATTTATTCCTGGGCCTTTGGTTGACTAACATGCCGATGGCCATAGAAGGTATCACAGCGTAGCAAGTCTAGAGATGGAGAGCCTAGTATGATACCCCGCGCCTCTCCAGTTCGAGCAAAGTACGGATTTGTTGACTCACTGTTTCGATAAACTCTGATGAGCACCCCGTTAAAGTGTATAGCTGAGCCTGCAATTGTGCAAAGGAGAGTAAGTTAATGAATGGAAACAGTTGTGTGCACTATATGGATGAATGGTGGATTCAATAGACATTCATTCGTGAGTGCGCAATAGTATATTCAGGATTGCAAAAATGTATGAAATGAGTTTCATAACACCCTCACAGGGGGTAGATATACAATCTGATGAAATGCACCTGCACCTGATGTAATACACCGTAGTCTCTCCATCAGTGCACATGGCACTATACACAGTTTATAGCTTGGTCACTATACACAGCTGATAGCTTGGTCACTATACACTGCTGATAGCTTGGTCACTATACACAGCTGATAGCTTGGTCACTATACACAGCTGATAGCTTGGTCACTATATACACAGCTGATAGCTTGGTCACTATACACTGCTGATAGCTTGGTCACTATACACAGCTGATAGCTTGGTCACTATACACAGCTGATAGATTGGTCACTATACACAGCTGATAGCTTGGTCACTATACACAGCTTATAGCTTGGTCACTATACACAGCTTATAGCTTGGTCACTATACACAGCTTATAGCTTGGTCACTATACACAGCTTATAGCTTGGTCACTATACACAGCTTATAGCTTGGTCACTATACACAGTTTATAGCTTGGTCACTATACAGCTTATAGCTTGGTCACTATACACAGCTTATAGCTTGGTCACTATACACAGCTTATAGCTTGGTCACTATACACAGCTTATAGCTAGGTCACTATACACAGCTGATAGCTTGGTCACTATACACAGTTTATAGCTTGGCGTGTTCTGCTTGGAGATATAGTGGTCCACTGTGGTACGTATTTACTAAAGTCAGACAGATGCGGATACGCTAGTCGAATTAAAAATCAACACACAAAAATGTAGTAGGCGCTGAAAGGGTCTCCATAAACAAGTCTTATAGAATGCGTATTGTGAATGGCACCTACGATCATACCCAGCCTATTTCTGCCGTACGTCCATATGACTACACATCCCACGACAGTATGAACTGATAGCCTAGCACATGTGCAAGCGTGCACTATCCAAGCGTGCACTATCCAAGCGTTGCACGCTACCCAACACAAGCGGTTGACTACAACTACACACACTCGCAGGCACGGACTACTATGCCGGGGCAGCATCATGCATAAGAGCCACACAGCTGCCGCCATCCACATGTAGCTAAGCGAACGCAATTGAACGAAGTTATACGTGTATATACCCTTATGAATAGCCTACATATACATATATTTGCGGGAAGCGGACTATGACGTCGAAGAGTCTGTGTACTTAAAAATATTTACCAGACAGCTTCATCGGTATAGGCAGCACATGCTCAAGTGCCCATACGACGGACGAGAGCTGAGACTACCCACACAGGCACTACGCATTACCAATAGACACGCACACGCACACGCACACGCACACGCACACGCACACGCACACGCACACGCACACAAAAGCAACACTCCATTATACCGAGGCAAGCACATCGCAGAAGCGCTACACGAGAAGAGCCTGCCGAAGGATGGCGGATCGTATCGATGAATATTGTGTATGCAATTTATCGCAATACAACATTATAAACACACACACACGCACACACACGCACACACATCTCAACACGTATACACATGTACACTCCGCCGGGCATACCTGAATATCCTGTGAGAACTGGAGGTTGTCCAGCACTTGGGCCAGACATGAACTGGCCGTGGACTTGAGCTTCTCACGCGACTCTCGCGTCATTTGGTCCCAGGTGATTTCTCCGCCCATGAGCATGCCCCCGTCATCCACATCAATCCCCGATGCCGATCCGCAATACTCTGAGTAGGGTGTGGTTTTAGGGTTTTAGGGTTTTAGGGTTTTAGGGTTTGGGTGTGGGACATGGGGTGTAGGGGGTACAACACCGCATATGAGCGTGTGAAGGTATGTTTACTCTGCGTGTGGGATGCCGATCGGAATTGGTTGGGTAGGGGCTATGAGATCACAGACAATTAAATCACACACAAGTGTAGTATCAATTAAATCACACACAAGTGTAGTATTAATTATATCACACACAATTGTAGTATTAATTAAATCACACACAAGTGTAATATCAATTACATCACACACAAGTGTAGTATAAATTAAAGTACACACAAATGTAGTATCAATTAAATCACACACAAGTGTAGTATCAATTAAATCACACACAAGTGTAGTATCAATTAAATCACACACAAGTGTAGTATCAATTAAATCACACACAAGTGTAGTATCAATTAAATCGCACACAAGTGTAGTATTCGATGTGTATTGTGCGCTGATTGAGATTAAGGTGCGATGGCGTCCGTCTATCGCATAGGATTGAAGTAATGTGTCCGCAGCGTATAGTGTGTAGATTGGGATTGATAGTTGTTTGATAGCTGTTGCTACGCAACGGATATCGATGCCGACTGCATTACTTTGCAGATGATATATATATTGGCACATATGTAAGCAGCTATCTTCATGTGTACGCGAACTATGAGCACGCCACACAGGGATGCGTATTCAATCAGAGATATATACATATATATATAAATTAATATTATAATGTAATATCATATAATATAATATTATAATATATAATAATGTATTATAATATATATATATATAGGGACTCATGCATCTATATACACTCCTGACGGTATTGTACAGATACTTGGGCAACGGCACTGTGCCAGCAGCTACTCTTGACCTATAGCTATAATATTGCGACTTCACCAAAGATAGATAGACACAAACACTATAACACATACATGACTCACCCCACGCACAAACAGAACACATCCCATATCTCACTTCATACGCATATATGCAAGTAACGTACTTGTTGTAACGTATGGCAGCGGTGTTGTGGTAGCGGCAACTGTCAGGTAGTAGTGCAAATGCAGCATCAGCACATACAGCGCACTCTCAATACCACACAGCAGTATCTGAACGGCGTGGGTATCCTCTGTTAGGGACGGCTGGTGACGCGCACGTCGATTGAACGTGGACCTGAGTGTGACGGGCATGGTTATGATCAGTATGAGAAGACACACACACACA